AATCAGAGCTTTACTGTTTCAACTGCATGCAAAATGCTCCTCTCCTTTGCACAGTAAGATACTTTTCCTTAGCACTCACCCACCCTTTAAAAAAGAGGGGGGGAGAGGGAAAGGGGGGGAAAAAGGGGGAGGAAAAGTCTACTCTGTCTATATTGTTTTTCTCTGTTTTGGGTGGAGTCTGTGTTAGATTTTGGTTGCTAGATGGTTTCTGTAGTAACAAGCAGAGAAAAATCCAAGACTGAAAAGGCACTTTTAAAGGTGCCATATCTTGCCTGAAGTATTATTTATCTAATTATGGATATGGAATGTTTAGCTTCTCCTTTATATTAAGGCTACCCTTTTTGGGTAGGACAGACTACTGCTGTGAGAACTTAATGTGTTGTGTTCTTGCAACACAAGTACAGGAGAACCACGAATCTTGTTCCCAGTTGACTTAAACTGCTCAAAATAATGATGAAAAGCCAAAGGCATTAAAATGTATTTTTAAACATTGTTTCAGGCACAAACCACTTTGGTTTTTAGTTACATAGGAAGGAAACAAGAAGCTGGATTCAGAAGGACACTTGGATTGTACATGTTACTGCTGGAAGGAGGGTGTTGGATACAAACAACAGTGTTTTATTTTGTTAGACTACTGTGTACAAGGAAGAATTCCTAGCTCCTTCAGAGTATAATCTTACTCTGCTGCACTCCAAAGTTTTCTTCTTTATTTCTCCTAAGAGGTTTTGCAGGTGTGTGAAAAAGTAGCTGTGTGTGTCTACTACTTTTGCCTTGTTTGGGCACAAAAAGAATTCAAAAAGTATTTTAAGATTACTTCTTTCCTGTCTCTCCAGTACTAATCATTCATTACCTGTATTCCTGACAGCCTTGCCTGCAACAAGCAGTAATGGTTTCCTAAGGAAGAGTTTCCTCTCTTTTTGGAATCTAGTCACCTGTCAGTGCCCTCCATGATTTAGCAACCTTTTGTCTGCAAGCGTTGTGCAATGGTCACTTAGAAAAGCAGGTACTCTGGTTTTGTCCTGTTCTGTGTCCTTTACAGAGGCAAGTCTGTCCCAGCTTTCCCTTGGCTTGGGAAGGGTCCGAAGGCTTGCACCCGCTGGGCGCAGCAGGAGACGCCCTGTAACACCAGGGACTGTGTGTGTAACTTGCCAGAAGTCTGAGGGCCAAAGCTCATTTGCATCTGTATTTCCATAGTGCTGTGAAGGCACTTGGCTGGAATACCTGCCTGGGCTTGTGTTGCCCTTGATAGGTGAACAGAGACAGAGAGCTGTTGGACTTCTCCAGGGTAGGGACCTTGCAGCCGATCAGCCTGGTTCTGGGCTCATGAAAGGTTTGCCTTCACAGCTCATTCTTCTGCAAAATGTACTTGGCTGCCCACACAGAAATTAGACCAGAGCCACTGGGTGAGGTCTGCAGGGGGAAGAAGTAGGTTGGTGCCTTTTTAATTTGACAAAAAAGGATTTTTCTGTGGGAAGAAGTTGTTGGTGAGGGAAGTGGGAAAGGACACTGCAGGCTTTTGAAGCTGGAAGTGTTAAAAGTTTCTAGAGGGACTTCAGGTAAAGAGATCGAGCAGCGAACTGATAACATTATGAAAGTTCATGTTCCCACAACAGCTGGGCTGTGGAAGATTTGCAATTTAATGAGGCTGA